GGCAGGTCCTGAGCACCCACTCTGGGTGCAGAGAGTTAGGGCAGGGGAAGCCGGAGCAGAAAACAGGAGCTCCCCACTCCTCTCCAGGGCAGGCGACACTCACTGCCTGGCCTTCAGCCGGTTGATTTCCTCAATGAGGGATGTCATCCGGATGGTAGTGTCTCGGGCCTTTCTCTGTAGGGAGGAGACGGGGCAGAGGTTGGGGCTGGCAGCTGCAAGGCACAGGGTGAGGGGCAGCACTGTCACCCCTGGAGGGACACTGACCCTCAGCTTGGAGTTGCCCAGGTAGAAGTTCTTGTGCAGCAGCTGCCCCAGGGAGCCAAACGCATCTTCTGGGTGATCCACAAAGAAGTGGCCCAGCTGTGCAGGAAGGACAGAGCGAGGGTTAGGATGTACTGGGGTGAGATCAAGGCGCTGTTAGGAGACCAGGCTCCCCTCCCTGTGCTCAGACATGTTCCCTGGCTCCAGGGAAGTAACACTGCCCTGCAGCACTGTCAGTGGAAGAAATGCCGTAATAGGAAGGGCAGGGTACTGCACTTCTGCGTAACCCCACGACTCCAGAGGAACCCCCAGGGTGCCAGGCCAGCCTCCTAGAATAGGCAGGTCTTCAGCAAGAGGCAGTGTCCAAGATCTTACCTGCTTGGTGAAGTCGAGGGCAGCTCCAGACTTGCCTGACCGGAGTTTCCTGCGAAGGACCCCACGGTAAAGGATGTCCTGAGGCATGAGTGAGGGGACCCAGGAGCCTGCAGGAAAAGGGCAGGACTCGACTGGTACTGCGGCAGCAAGCCTTAATTTCCAGGAAGCCGCGTTGGGTACAAAGAGCAGAGAGACCGGACAGCACTGCTGGGGAACAGCTCACCCACCCCCAGCAAACACCACTGGGGCAAACGCCAGGGAGAGGGGAGAGCTGATGGAGATAGAAGGGCTGGAAACCCAAACCTCGGAGCACCTCAGAGCAGCTTGGGATGAGGGTCTGAAGGCAGAACAGGGAAGCACGCCTGAGGAAGCACGTCCCTTCCCACCCCCTTCCAGCCTGCCCTGCAGAGCCCTCACTCGCATTGGGGGGTAGGAAGGGCACAGCAGCGACGTCAGCAGGCTCCCAGCTCTCGCCCGTCCTGCCGCAGCGGGGCGCAAACGTTGTCTCAGCCTGGAGAGACACAAGGTGAGACACAAGCCCGCGCCACCTCCCTGCTCACCCCCACAGTGCCCCAGTGCAGCTCACGTTGGCTGTGCTGCCCCGTCCCACTCCCTCCCTGCCAAAGCACCCGGATTCGGGCTGCAGACCCCGCACACAGGGCAGGGCTGGAAACGCAGGCGGAAGAAGCTGCAGCACAGCTCCTCTTCTTTGTGTGGGGCTCTGACCCCCCCCCCCGACACCCCACCACACCAGATGCCCCCCACC